CAATTACATGTACGTGTACGACGCTCCTAGCCGCTGGCTAGTTTCCATTAGTTCTCTCATTATTTACGACCTAGCCTTTGTCGCGCTCGCCCGTATAGCTACCCTGTCTGCTCCTATCTACCTTCCTACTATACCTCTCCCGCGCCGATAGCGGGCTCATGTTTACCATGTTATCAGCACCCACTCACGCACCACCACCGCCACCACCACTACCACCACCACCACCACCACCACCACGCACCGACCAATCATCATCACTCATCTCATCATCATCCCTCATCACCGCACGCGCACCACCATCACCTACACACCACCACACCATACCATCACACATATCACATCACCATCATCGCAGTCACCACCATCGAACGGGCGGCACCACCACCACCACCACCACTCACACTCACGCACCACCACCACCACCACACACAACTCACGCAAACCACCACCACCATCCCCAACTCACCCACACACCCACCACCACCACCGCACTCACAGCGCACCGACCACCCACCACATCACCAATCACCACCGCACCCTCAGCGCAACGCACCACCACGACGCACGCACCCACACTCGACGCCCACACCACGCACCACCATTCATTCCGACCACCACCACGCACCACCATCACCACCCACTCAAGCACGGCACCACCACCACCACCATCACGCATTCACCACGCCCACTCACGCAGCCACCACCACCACCACCCCCACACTCCGCACACACCACCACCATCATCCCGAGACCACCCAACCAACCACCACCACCACCACCAGTCACCGACCCACTCACGCACCAACCACTACCACCATCATCATCACGCACCCACTACGCATCCACCACCACCACCACCCACCACCACCACCACTTCACACCACTCAATCGCACGCACCACCACCACGCCACTCTCACGCACCACCACCACTTACCACCAGCATCAGCACACCACACACCACCATCCACGCACCCCACACCACCACCACCACCACCACCACCACCACCACCACCTCCCTCTCATCCTCCTCCACCACCGACCACCACCACGCACCACTCACGGCACCACCACCACTACCACCACCATCATCACTCAGAACCACCACCACCAGCCACCACCACCTTCCCCCTTCTCATGCCTCCTCCCCACCACCACCACCACCCGCACTGTCACCCCCGACCCCACCACCAACCAACCGTACCACCACACCCGACCACACCACCACC